CGGTTTAATTATAGGTAGAGCTATTACTTCTAATCTTTGCATAACGGCTTCAGCTATTAATCCTGATATGGGCGATCCCATTGGTGTTCCTTTTATTTGTTCATATATTTGAGTATTGAACTGGAAGTATGTTGTAAGGCATAATTTTATGAGTTCTATCCAAGTTGATAATTGCGTTTTTATGTTTCCATCACTATAGAGTAATTGTTGCATAGTTTCTGTTGCTAGTTTTGGACTAATTGAAGTATATAATGCTGTGACATCAAAGGACACCATTATTTCATTGTCTTCTACTTGAATGTTTTTGATTTTCTCTAAAAATTGGATTGACGAATTGATAGAATGGTCGCATGATTCTGTTAGGTAATTTAATTTCCTGAAAAGTTCTTTAGATAGATTATATGTTGGTGTTCCTGGAAGCGAAACGATTGGTCGTAAGGGAATATTTGGTTTGTGTAGTTTCGGTCTACCATAGAATCGAGGTAAAATAGGTCCGTTAGATTTCATTCGCCATTGATCTTGTTCTGTAATTTGTCCTGATTTCGTTAGTTTATTTAACGTTGTTTTGATTTTGTTATCTAATGTTTGTATAGGGTTTTTTGTCAACTGTTGATATACATTATTATCTTTGAGTAAATCCTCTGCTTTCTTTATGTAGTCTTCTGTGTCCAGGATTACTGTTGTTGTCCAATTACATTAAAACTATCATCCATTTAGTTTTTGTTACCATTCTATAACGTCTAAAAAGTTAGATTCATTTGTTCAAGGTCATTTTGTCTACAATCGGTTGACTTAGATCAATAAAACCACTCGTAATGCTTCCACTAACTGAATATTATTTTTTTTAATGTAAATAAGTGTGATAATGAGCGGCTTTCAATTTTTAATTTATTTCTCAGCAAAATGCTCAATTGGCGAGAAGAGGAAATGATGACAAACACTACTGCACAACAAAGTTGAAGTCTTCTACAAAAAGGGAGAAAATGCCCAACATTAGCAATTCAGAGACAAATGAAGACGACACAATGCTAGACTATTTACTCAATAGTAATTATGTCAAGGATGTGGTCTCTCAATGCAATCTATCCGCTCATTCAGTGAAGATAATAACAAAATGTATAAAAGAATTACAAACTGCACTGGCAAAGTCTCACGATGAGATAATAAGCTTGAAAGGCAATCTAAAACTGACCTCAGATTATCGTAAAGAAGATTTGAAATTGGTTATGCAAATGGTTGAAGAGATGCGACAACAGCAGAGAAACAAAAGCTCAACTTGATCGATCAGATAAGGTGTTCTTGGTGGTGGTGGTTGTACATACACACTGAGTTGTCATTGATGTCGGTTAATATACAAATCATTGTGATAGCAAAAAAGAAAGTCTTTCAAATGACAGTGTATACAACAGTCTACTGGATCTGATATCATTCCATTATTTGTATGCTAATTTTTTGTGAACAAATTACACAGGCTAGGCATTTTTCAGTGATGAATAGATCTTGGTGTTTTTGGTCGGATCATATAGTCCCTGGACTTAAGCTACAGTCAGTAAGTAGACAAGTTATGATGAATATATGTGTAAAACCAGAGAAAATCTAAAACAGGAACTAATACACATAAAAGAAGCCTTGAATCTTAATAATTACCCGGATAAATTAGTCAGGAAATATGTAAGGAAATGTAAAAATAAAATAAATAATGATAGTAGTGATAGTGGTAATAACAATGATATTAATGACGACACCAACAATAAGGAATCTAAATCATCAGTAGTAACTCAAAACAAGAAAGGAACCTTGGAAGCCTTACGGAGAACCCTTAACAATGCAGGAATAAAAGTGGCTGGCATTCAAACCAACCCCAAACTCAATTAGAAACAAGCTTTGTCGGTTACAGGATCAATCCTGTGGAGCCTTTAAAACAAAACAATTTAGTTTATCTAATACACTGCCTGCAATGATTGTCAGGTCAAATACATAGGTCAAACTAGTAGAACAGGGGCAGTCAGACTAGCTGAACATAAAAACCTAGCAAAATCTAGATTGGTTGATCCAAATAAGATAAGAAATCTAGAGAACAGTTCAGCTATAGCACTACATGCAGTTACACACAACCATACAATAGGCTGGATGGGATAGGATGACAGTTTTAAAATCTAATGTCACAGGGTATAGTACGTTTATCGAATCAACTGCAAATACATGTAATAGGGATGATTCATCACATGTCCCCGATATCTGGAAAATTCTACTACCCATACGACAAATAGGAGAGAACAAAGAAAGCTATAAAACTCAAGTGTCAAAGTCGTGTGATTACAATTGATATGATTATGAACAATAAATTTTGTTCGAAACGTCATCCAGTAAATAATACTGTTTCACTGTGTGATATAGCTAATAAACAAACTAATATGGAAGTTATGATGAAGTTGTTTACAATATGTCATTTACGATATTCAATTCGTTATTCCCACACTTAAATCATGAAAGCTGTGTTGTCTACTTTTTGTTTGTATATGCGACAGGACAGTAAAGCATATGAGAATAGTTCGCCAAATTACTGTGACAATTTCTTTAAGGAAAACGACCAAGTGTCGTGCGCCATTATAAGCTTATTCAATACTTGAATTGATGATCGGATTATCGTTTGTGGGTTTCCTTATCATCTGGTGTCACTTTCCGACACAGGTCATTGGGATTTCATGCCTCATCTTATCACAATAACCAGAGGGGTCACCATCTTCAGTGAAAAGAGGATAGCATTCTCTGACTAATATTGTTATATTCGGTATTTTCGACGCCTTCATCCTCGCTGATCTCATGCATGCTAATAGATCGACACTTTGTAATCACAGCCCTCACCACTTCGTGTTAATTAAGTATTGTTTGCCGTAAATGAGGCACAATAATGAACGGAGATGCTACCCTGTGATCCCCAGTGTGAACGCTGCAGTTTGACATGCCTGTGCTTTTTAACATGTGTTCACCTACCGTTTAAATTGTCAGAGAATGCTGTCTAACACTGACATTAATTCTTATCTTTTAGCGAGAATACCGCTTCTATATTTATTAGACAAACAACATCTTGGCTATTCACTAGCAACTTGGAATACACCGTCCTCCTTTCGATTGCTCTCGTTACTTTCAGTCTTATCGGAGAGAAAAAATACAGTATATCGTCTAAAATGTTTCCTTTTCCGTACACAGTATTTTCTCCACTGACCTGGATCGCCATATTCAAAGCGCTGGTCTTTAAAGGCACTCATTTGTAGCGCTGCAAATCTTCTATCTGAGTGGCTGTGTTGAGGCTAAAGCTGCGCTCAGTATGTCTTGTTACCTTCGCATGCTCACCGATGTCAATGGGTTGTAATTGATGAGAATTGTGTTCTGGTACACTAGAAAGCAAACAACTGCATCTCTGACTCTTCATCAGGTGTAGGAAGCGCTCGACGAAGTAGACTTGTCAGCTTCCCCATCATTATCAGCCAGTCTCCGTCGGGGCCCTACCTTCATGACACGAAACTGCTGCCTGTCCGTCAAACTCAACCACCAATGCTTCCTGTCCACCTGACCGCTCCACACTGTCGTATGATGCTTCAGCACAACAGTCTTCGTCGTCAGATCCTAAATGCCCACCGACACGGCAATAGCATCGAAGTCCCACAAGAAGCTGCTCAAGTTTCCTTCTTCGAAAGCTTCACGCCATGTAACCTTCATTGTCCGAAGACGGTAACAACAAATGTAACGACAGCGGAATTACTTATAGGCAACTCGATGTACATATATACGCAAAATACCTCTACCATTTATCAGAATCTCCATTCGCACAAATCTTCGGTATTGTGTTTCTTTGTCTTCCTTTCATGTTTCCCGTATTGTTCCACAAGCAAAGTTCGTCAAATCCATTTCACTGCTATTCGATATTTTTGCATTTGATGTATCTACAGGCTACTGACAACATTTATCAGTAGCACACGCTACACTACTACTGATCACCTATCCGTTTACTAACAGGCTGTATATTAGATAGTTCCAACCATAGGCCAACTTTTCTATAGCAAGATGCGGCCTATTCATTTAGTCACCAGTCTCCAACTTGTATGCAAACGCATATTCGGTTGGAAGATTTCATTATGAGCTGACATCAGTTAGAGAAGCGTTAGAAAACCATCAGGGAGTGCTGGACAGCTGTTCCGTACTAGTGCTCGGGGCTCCTCATCAGTACGCACCCACCAAGAGGTTCGGACTCGGAACCTTCTAGTTACAAGGCGAGCTGATTCGTAGACCGTTGAGCCACCGGGACCCGATCCAATGGCCAGCCCATGAATTCTAACTTCTGCCAATCAAACAAAGTCCCTACAAAGCCAACACTGGAAAATTGACCTGATGTTCACTAGCTACTTTCCCTATTCAAATAGTTACCTGAGGTTCTAGTGGGAAGCTGTGACCGGGAGGGTGCAGCAAGGTCAAGGTGAGGCAGTAACTCATAGAAGAAGACATTGCGAAGTGTTCGCGCTACGTTGTGAATTGGCAGAAGTTAGAATTCACGGACTGGCCATTGGATTGGTGGGTCCCACTGGCTTAATGGTCTACTAGCTAGCTTACCTTGTAACCAGAAGGTCATGGGTTCGAACGCAGCTGGTGGGCGCATACTGATGAAGAGTCCCTGGCTAGGCCGCTGAGAACAGCTGTCCAGTACTCCCTGGTGGTTGTCCAATGGTTCTCTAACTGATGTCAGCAATGATGAAACCCTCCAACCAATCAAACACAATCCCTACAGAAACCAATCCTTGAAAACACATATTTAACATTTAAACATGAACAAACAGTTAAAATTTAGTCCCAAAAAACTGTTTTGGTCATTGTATTGTTTTTTTTTTCAGCTGAAATTGGTACAACACGCAAACAAAATTCTTAGTTGGTAAAACTGTAACACCGAGGAAAGTTAGCAAAACAACTTTACATTAAAAAATAACATCACAGTTATCGTAAGGATAGGTTGAAAGGCAAGTTGACAAGGTAAAAAGCCATAAAAATATCCGAAAATCAAAAGAATAAGCAATTGCCCACACTATAAGTACAAGTTGTGCAGACAAGTAGATAGTGTTAATTATTGGTTTTTTTTTAAAAAAAAAGTCATAAAATTAAAAGACTAAGCCAGATAAAAAAAAGTGAACAGTGATAAGCAAAGCAAAGCAAAGTAGACTAATCAAAGATGATAGAGATCGGAACGAGCACAACAGTCCCCACACCCCTTCCCCATCCGTACACATGGGGATTGATCACTTTTTGGCATGGAAGTTCATTTTTGACTTGGCATTATTGTTATTACTATCCGGCGTATCATATAATGCATCTAAGTAACCATGAGCTAATTCAGTAACAAGTGAACGATCCGGTATCAGTTGAGACATTCCATAAAGAGAAGCCTAAAAATGATAAAATAGAGAAAATATGAGAAAGGTGAAAAAGTTCAGCGGAATTTGAAAAAAGGGTATAGAATTTTTATGCAGCAAGGATACATATATATATATATATATATATATATATATGTATATAGTCTTTACGAGTTGATCACGGATTGATATCAGTTAGAGAACCATTGAAGGCGAATTTCAACAATAGCCTCCCAGGAGTGCAAACGCTCCAATGACCTTGAACGCATGCTAGTCGTTGGCTGACAGCACCTGTCACTAGCATAGCTGAAATATCAACGCTATTCACCAACTAAGGAGCAAATTTCACTCAGATCACGTCTTTAAGTACTGTTTGGACAATGTGTTAATAGCTCGTTAGAGTTAGGATTAGGGTTAGGATCAGGGTCATAATTCGCATTAGAGTTAGGATGAAGGACGTAATTAGGGTTAGTGTGAAGTTTAGGGTTAGCGTGAGGATTAAGGTTAGGGTTAGGACTAGGGATAGATTTACAGTTGATGTCATTTGTTTTAATTTGTTTTCTTATACACATTTTCCTGGTAAGTAGTCGTCAGTCCTCTTACTGGAAACCATAGTAAATCAACCAAGAGCTATTAGGGAAGACTGCACAACAGGATAAGAGAGATAAACAATTCACAAAAACAGCTCATCTTTAGCCACCTCAGTGTATACATGTACAGAAACTAGTTTAACTTGGCAACTGATACTCGTCATTATTACTGGGACGTATCTTTAAGCTATACCAGAAAAAGATACTCTGTTTAATGTGTTTTCAAACATTTTCTTGTAAATATACGTCATCTTTTGTGCAAAAACCACTTATTTTTATGATTGGTCGGCTGAAGGTCACTCGTGCGTTCGCATCCCTTGGGACGCTATTGTTGAACTTTGCCCGATTGAAAACCAGTATGGAGTACTGGACAGATGTTTCCTTTTAGTTTGGAAACCATCGGTAGTACGCAGCCACTGGGGTTCAAATCCAGGACTTTCCGGTTACAAGGCAAGCTCGTACACCATTCAACCACGGGGACCCGATTCAATGGCCAGCCCATGAATTCTAAATTCTACCAATTCGTGACTTAGCGCGGCCACCAACCAATATCATCGGGGTGAATGAACTTCAGCAAAGTGGTAACCGTAAAGCAGTAGGAATACAAAGGCAAAAGGAAAGATAAGGGTGTAATAAAATTCTAATGTTTCAACTAGGTAAATAATAGAAAATTAACCACCTGTAGTAATAATAATAATAACTTTACTCCAAACAGTACTTTTGGTACAAATATCGAATTTTCTGCATGTAGGAGTACAGTATTTCATCTGATATTCGCATTACAGGGGTAATAATTGAAACAGGCCATTTATAGTGATACTATTATTAAATAAGACTATGTTATATAAAATTAAATTTAACTGAAAATATTAACAACATAACAATGAAATAAACAATAAAACAGGCTGTTTACTCAATGTCATTAGGTAAGTTAGTGGTTTCTTGCTTAACACTTTCCTCATCACATAAAAATACATGCTAAATAAGGTATTGTGGAGTTTTTATGCTTAGTCGCTCGAGCATACAGTCTTTTATAGTTGCTTCTACTTCTACCTGATGAGATGCAGCAAGGAGAGAATTGTGTGTAGAGAGGATGCTCAGAGTCCGACAAGATAATATTAGCTGTTCTTGCATGAGTTCATGTGTCTACAACCAGTAGTATTAATAAGTCAGAAACGAACTCATTTCTGACCAAGAACTCGAACTTAGGACAAAAGTGCCACTTGAGGACATAATGCTGGGAGTACAGCTATGCCTGACTTCCACAGTATTTAAATTCCAAGGGGAAATATACAAACAAACTGAGGGAGTTGCCATGGGATCACCAATATCCCCAGTGGTAGAAGATATATTCATGAATAAGTGGGAAAGCATAGCGATTGAAACGTTCACCCCCACCCCAAAAGTATGGTGGAGGTACGTAGACGACACATTCACTGTACTTAGAACACAAGATATAGATAGGTTTTTCTAACACATAAACTCGAAGGTTGAAGCAATTCAATTCACTTATGAATTGGAAAATCAGGAAGGGGAGCTGCCAATGTTAGATTGCAACGTAAAGAGGAAAGAAGATGGGAAGTTAAACACTAGTGTTTACAGGAAACCCACACACTCAAACAGATATTTGGACTTCCAATCATCCCATCCTATATCAGTAAAAATAGGATTCGTGAAATGTTTAAATGACGGAGCACAAAAATTAAGTAGTACCAAAGAAAATCTAAAACAGGAACATAAAAGAGGCTTTGAAACTTAATAATTACCCGGATAAATTAGTCAGGAAATATGTAAGGAAATGTAAAAATAAAATAAATAATCATAGTAGTGATAGTGATGATAATAATATTAATGACGACACCAACAATATGAGATCTAAATCATCAGTAGTAATTCCATGCAAGGAAGGAACCTCGGAAACCACTTTACGCAGAATTCTTAACAAGGCAGGAATAAAAACGGCATTCAAACCCACAAACTCAATTAGAAACAAGCTTTGTCGGCTAAAGGATCCTATAGAGCCTTTAAAACAAAACAATTTAGTTTATCTAATACCCTACCTGCAACGATTGTCAGGTCAAATACATAGGTCAAACTAGTAGAACAGGGGTAGTTAGACTAGCCGAACATAAAAACCCAGCAAAATCTAGATTGGTTGACCCGAATAAGATAAGAATTGTAGAGGACTGTTCAGCTATAGCACTACATGCAGTTACACACAACCATACAATAGGATGGGATAGGATGACAGTTTTAAAATCTAATGTCACAGGGTATAGGGAGAGATTGATGACGGAAGCTTTGTTTATCGAATCATCTCCAAATACGTGTAATAGGAATGATTCATCACCTATCCCCGACATCTGGAAAATTCTACTACCGTTACGACAAATAGGAGAAAAAAAATAAAACTATAAAACTCAAGTTTCAAAGTCGTGTGATTACAATTGGTATGATTATGAACAATAAATTTTGTTCGAAACGTCATCCAGCAAATAATACTGTTTCTTCACTGTGTGATGCATCTAATAAACAAACTAGTATGGAATTACTTACTACCACGGTGCCCAAGTTTTACACATATATTAATATTAACAAGTTCGTTTGGCGAGACACCACTCACTAGCCCCAATGACAGCTTTCAGTACCCTTCACAGTGTAAGAAAGTCTTTCTTAAGTAACAGTAAAAAAGAATGGGCAGAATACAGGAATTAACAAACTGTAATACTGGAGACTGACTGAGTGATACCGGATAGCGTTAACTTCCTTACATAGAAAGTTGAGTGAAATGTCATTCTAGGAACTGACATGATGTGAGAAGACCAGAAAACATCAGAGGAAATACACAATCCAAGGTACTTAACACTAGACTTAGTAACACAACAGCTTCAGTGCCATCTATGTTACTGAATCACGGGAACGAACCAGTTCATGTTAGTCGCGCTTGAGTCTGAAAGTGAAATGAACAAGCTGACATTTGGTGGAGGGATTTAGTTCGAGACCACCATTTGACAAGTACCACTGAGTAATTTTTGATAAAAAGCCATTCATTTTGGAACAGTCATTCTGAGGCTGCTTTAAACCATCATAATACCAAAACAAACAGACTGATTAATCTCAGATCCTTGTAAAATACCCTTGTAAGTCTATAAAGGTGAATGGAGAAAAACTAAAGAGGGACAGATTTCATGTTTATTATGACAAATTACAATGAACATTACGAAAAATGACAACAAACTTCCTCCTATCTGTGTTAATCATGAGACACGAGCAACGTTATATCTGACAGAGAATTACAGATTACAAAAGATTTAGCAGTTATCGAACCAGAAACACACGGCATCAAACCATGAAAATCTTCAACTGCTTGTTGGCTTGCGGGTCACAACAGTGGTCGCCGAAACGTTAATGACTAATGCCCCGTGAGTATTGGCGAAACAGCGCTCTCAAAGTTGTTCTCGCTTTCTGTGACTTTTTCAGACACCTTAAATGTTCATATAATTCAATGTTTCTCGCGGAGATTCCCCCCCTTTAATTCAGTTTCTGTGCACTTCTTGTTTACACTTCTTTACTTCCCCTTTTATGTGTATTTCTACGTTGAGAATGCAGTCAGACAGCTTTGTGTGATGCTAATTCGGTTCCCCTAACCGAATTATAATCGTCTTGTCAACTTCATCCACAGTAGCTAGCTAGCTTACTTACAAACTATCGCAGCTTTTTCTTCAAGAAATTTCTACTCTATATACAACTTGTTAGGACGGACCAACAACGACCTTAATTAGCCAAAAAGTTATTATAATTGATGCATGCGTCAACGTGATTGGCCAGTTTTTGATTGACTTATTTTGTAGGACATTAAAGGTCATGCAATTAGTCAGATATTGATTGATCTGTTTATGGTTTAAATTTACGTTGGTGTGTTTGTTAAACGATAGACAAAACTTATCATTGTGTGTAAACTATTAAAATATAATTATACTTTATTTGATAGACATCACTCGAAGAGGCTATAAAGTTACATAGATTGAGATGGTTAGGCCACGTGCTGCGCATGCCTAGCCATCGCCTCCCACGACGGGCATTACTAGCTGATATAGGTGCAGGTTGGAAAAGAGTAAGTGGTGGCCAAACAAAAACATCGCATCAATCAATCCATGAAATCCTTGACAGTTAAACTGAGTCAGGTAGGAATATGCAGACTTCCGGGTTGGAGCCCTCGGGACTCTAAGAATCAATGGCTGGAGACAATAGGTGACATGGCTCAAAATCGTTGTCAATGGCGCAGATGTTTTCAGTCTCTTTAACCTTCATATTCCTTTCTACCATTACTCATTCTGTTTCACTCTTATACTTATCTAAATTCTATTGATTCTCTTCTCTCATTTTCCTGTCTACCTTTGTGTGCTATTTGGAACGTGGCAACTCGAACTGCTGCACTTCAGTGCCAAGTTCTATATTGAATCCAGCAGCAGCAGCAGACATACTGTGTACTGTACGTACAACCACAGGGTGGTATCAGTTTTTATTTATTGAATTCAAAAGCGTTCAATTGAGAAATCGTTGAACTTACACATATATATACATATCCCCTAACAAGTCAGTGAGCTTAGAATGGTTTTCGTTATTGATTTTAGCTTCTATGCTGAAGTAACATTCACTATAGTGAATGAAAAGAATTTTATTCACAATGCAGTATTCAAAAAACAGTCTCAATAGAATACACACGCGCACACGAACACATTTCATGTTGGCGAGTGAGATGAGGTCAGATAAATCGATGAATACATTAATTAAAATAAACATATATGCATACATAAAAATAACGGAATGTTAAATATGTTCAGGAATGTCAAGATGATCAAGATGAGTGTGTGTGTGTGTGAGTGACTTGATATGATTATGACTGGCAATAGTTTGTGCTCGAAACATGGTCGCATCAGTTAATATTACTGTATAACAACACTGTGTGACAGTTTATCAAAATAAAATCTTATCTATTATGGAGTTACGGCGTACCCCAAATATTCATCAACCTTATTCAACAACTGTACGACAACGGCACATGTCAAGTGATCCACAAGGGAAAACTCAGCGAGGCGTTCGGAGTAAACACAGGAGTCAGACAAGGGTGCTTATTATCACCAATGATATTCCTAATTGTGGTGGACTGGATTATGCGTCAGACAGTGGGAAACAGGAAGACAGGGATATCCTGGACCGACGTGAAGAACCTAGAAGACCTGGATTTCGTGGATGATTTATGTTTGATGTCACACAAAATCGAAGACTTGCAAACAAAAACCGACAAACTGGTTGAAGAAGCAGCAAAGACAGGACCCCAGGTGAACATAGACAAGACGGAGGTTATGAAAATAACCAACAACAACAACAGCAACATCCAGTGCCAATCACCATCAACGGAAGGGATTTGAAAGAGGTTACTTCTTTCACTTATCTAGGGAGCATTGTCTCAACTACAGGAGGAACGGACGAGGGTGTCAAATCGAGAATCGGGAAGGCGAGAAACACATTCATCAATCTGAAACCAATCTGGAAATCTTCGTCACTCATCCTGCATCAACAACAAAGTGATTCGGATTTTCAATACAAACGTCAAGTCAGTCAGTTTTGCTTTACGGATCAGAAACCTGGCGGGTCACCAAGAATATTTCCAACAGGTTGCAGACCTTTATCAAAAACTGTCTTCGCTCCATACTGAAGATTAGATGGCCGGAAAGAATCACAAACAAGAAGCTATGGGAACAAACGAAACAGGAACCAATCGCCCAACAAATATGCAGGAGAAAGTGGAGATGGATTGGACACTCGCTGAGGAGGCCGTTGAGTGACATCGCGCGTCAGGCCAACGCTCGAGTGGAACCCGAAAGGGAAGCGGCGAGTGGGACGTCCAAGGGTGACATGGAGGAGATCGTGTGAGGAGGAGATGAAACAGTATGGAATAACATGGACGCAAGTGAAAAGTACAGCAGAAGACAGAAGCAAGTGGAGGCGTGCAGTTGAAGCCCTATGTTCCACTAGGAACCCAAGGGAACAATAATAATAATATATAATTATGGAGTTACACTCTACCATAGTGCTCAGGTTTTATACTTATATCAATAGATCAAGGTTAGTTGGATTATCGGAATGTAGGAAATTAACTACAGCTAGAATGATTGACTCTGCTAAGTGATTTATTAAAAAAAAACAACTCGGCGATAACACTGCATGTAGTCCCACAACATGGGGAATAGGATGTAAGTATTAAAAAGTAATATGATTAGATGACTGAAGAGGTTAGCCACCAAGTGTTTGTCTATCGAGTCAGTCAGTACTAATTCCGAGTAATAGAAATGACGCAACAACACTTATCTTGAACTTTCCGGTTACAAGGCAAGTTCGGCAAGACCATTCAGCCACTGGGAGTAGACACAACGGCCAGTCCATGAATTTTGACTTTTACCAATTTGTGATTTTAGGGCGACCGGCACCAGTTAATGTTATCAGTGAGTATCTGCCTTCACTTCCAACTGGGTCTAAGAGCTTGCTTGCCTTGTAACCGGAATGTCCTGAGTTCAAAAAACCGGTGGACACTGGCGTACTGACAGTGAGTCCTAAACTAGGTCGAAACAGCTAACTGTCCGGTACCCGCTTTTTTTTCCAGTGGTTCTCTAACTGATATCAATCCGTGATCAAATTTGAAAGAAATAAAATCGCTAAAAACAAACTCTTAAGCATTTTTTTCGCAGAATAAAGCCGTTACCTTTATTGTGATACTGTGACGAGTGCTACTGATAAGGTTTATCAGTAGTGTATAAAGAGACGTTCATCACCATAAAAACATCAAATAGCAGGGAGATACATATGATTTCAGAGAAGACAAATGATACAGTGTTGTGGAGATACATGAGAGACGTGAAAGGAACACAAAGAAACGCATCATGAAGTCCAAAAGTACCACAAAACGAAGATCTGTGCAAATGGTGCGTTGAAGATAAGGTGTACATTATTCGGCTCTGTAGAGATACCAATTTCCAATTATAAAACATTCCTTAAAATATATACACACCTTTTATACGAAATAACAGTATTCTATTAGAGAATTATATTCTACCACACTGCTGAAATTCTTCTATTACACTAAGAAAGAAGTCTTTTTGAGACTAAAATAGACAAAGACTGGGGTACAAGAAGCCCGACGGGATTCGATGCAAATTAGTGAGAATTTCCAGAATTAGAATAATAGCAAGCAGAGAATACATCGACACTATGGAGAACGCTGTTTTAAGCTATGTCGCTAGGAACATTCTCGGAAATGTAATACTAACAGTAATAAAATACTGCCAAATATTTAAGAAATAGAACTCAGGCTTCGAAATACAGTATAATTTTATGAGAAAACAACTTTATTTGACACAAAATACACACACTGAAAACGTTTCGAGCGCAATTAATTGCCCATAAATCAATATCAACGTGGTGCATCCGTGATTCAGCAGTGAAACGCTCGCCAATCACGCACATGGTCCGTTGTTCGATTGCCTCGGCTGACACACTCCTAAACTTCTTTAGGACAGTTGGTAATCCTAGTAAGGAGGGGATTTTATTGATAAAAAGGGATTTGTAGCTGAAGGTTTTATCACGAGTTGACACATTCATTTAGGTGACTACTGGAAAATCTGGGAGTACTACACAAATGTTCCGTCCTGGCTTGGAGCTCTACAACAGTTTACACCAACCGTGGTTCGAAACCAGGGCCTTCCGGCTACAAGGCGAAGTCGTAGTGAGAATTCGTAACCGGCAGGATCCGCCAAGTCAGTTAACAGAACAGTCACTCGCCTGTAACATTGACTAGCGGTTGCGCTGCATATATCGCGAATTGGCAGAAGTTGAAATTCACAGATCACAGGATAAGGGGCCCAGTGCCTGAATGGTCTGTGAGCTCGCCCTGTGACCGGAAAGTCCTGGGTTCGAACACTGGCGGTGGGTGCGTACTGATGAAGAGTCCCAAACCAGGACGAAATAGATGTCCAGTTTGATATTTGCTCATAATCTATCTCATTAGTCAGATAAGAACAAATCGCATATTGTCGCAACATGGTCCTCAGCCAATCACAATCCAGCATGCAGTTAATGCCTCCTATTTGAGTCTTGTGGCTAGATGAATACACGCAACATACTTTTGTACTATTGGTTACGTTTCCAACAGTACTGTGTAAGTCTTCTGGAATCTACTAGTTCAGCATAGGGAATAATCCACTAAGGAAATTATCTAGCATTCATATTCACATTCAGCGACATCATAACAGTAATAAAAATGATAAACACGAAGGGAACTTACAACACCTCCCACTTTAACATTTGGCTTTTTAATCAATTCTTCAGCGATTTCTGCAACATCATGAATAAATCTTTCAGCAATGCCTTTCTTAGTGTGCATATCTGTAATGCATAAATGAACACCTGGTGGGAATTGAAGAATGCTTAAATTCCATCCACGACCGTTCGGTTTATTCGCCATCATTTGACTTAGAGTATAGATATTGAAAATATTTGAACCAAAGGCTACAACACACACATTCGGTTCACCGAAAATGAAAATGCCGGGAATTTTGCGCAATCTAGTTGGACAAAAAAGAATAAGAAAAGAAAAGAAAATTAGCGGGTTTTTTTTGTTTGTTTGTTAAGAAAACAATTATCGGTAGTAAGTCGTTTATCACTTCAGAAATAAACATGGAGAGCATTTGTGAAGATACTAAGTAAAATATTTGTATGCGCATGCTGAGTATTTTTCAACAGATAGTTGTCACTAGGGTTTATGATAATCTCCCATGGTGCTAAATTTAGTGTTTCTCTAGTGACTGAAACAGACAACTCTTTAGGTGATAAAGTATATTGACATTTTTAGAAACAATTGCCGCACTCTGCCGGCTACATCATATATTTATATATACATGTGTAAATGTAATGTACACCTTGAATTAGTTGTGTTCTCTAAGCTGGTTTATTCTATTGCGAAGCTTTCATCGTCCTTCTAGACGACATCTTCAGCGCAAGCTTTAATATAAACTGAACTTGTTTGAATTCTTCATGAATCGTGATATAATTGCATCTCACAACAACCATTGTCGTGAATGGTTGTTAATTTACAACTTTATTGATCGTTCGTTATTGACTTGGAATTTGAACTTTCTTGTCATGTCATTTATTATTTTTTTATTAGCTGATAAATTTGGTGTATAATAATGTTTCAGGATTTCATCATGAGCTGACATTGGTTAGAGAACCATTGGAAAACCACCAAGGAGTACTGGATAGATGTTTCATCCTAGTTTGGGACTCTTTAGCAATACGCACCCACCGGGGTTCGAACCCAGAACCTTCTGGTTACAAGGCGAGCTCGCATACCATTAAGTCACTGGTACCCGATCCAATGGCCCATGAATTCCAGCTTCTGCCAATTCACGATATAGGACAAATACTTGCCGAAGACATTGGGTAGGGGTCGCACTATGTCGTGAATTGGCAGAAGTTAGAATTCATGGGCGATTGGATTGGGTACCAGTGGCTTAATGGTATGCGAGCTCGCCTTGTAACCAGAAGGTTCTGGGTTCGAACCCCGGTGGGTGCGTATTGCTAAAGAGTCCCAAACTAGGATGAAACAGCTATCCAGTACTCCTTGGTGGTTCTCCAATGGTTCTCTAACCGATGTCACCTCATGATAAAATCCTGCAACCAATCAAATCCCTACATACCAACACTTAAGTATGATAATGTGTTTGTTGATTGCTAATTCACTTGAGTACTAGGCTTTTGGAAATTCCCTGACTGCATTTTTGTTGTTTCCTCTAATGTGTGTATACTTTCATGGAAAGCTAAAAATATGCTTAAATAAAGCCTTGGACATACATGATCATCTTACGATAACTGGTCGCATTATTTAAGATTTGAGCTAGTGGGTTTGGATTTCAAACCCACCTCCAACCAACTTCACACTGTACATTGGAATAGCCAGGCACTAATGCGATAAGACCACGAAGGAATTCATCACAGCACCTGACAGTCAGGAGCACATTAGGCACTAGAAACATGCCAATTCATAAAAGCAGGCCCACAGTTTAATTGTTATGTGAACAAAATTGCTGTTAATCTGCTGCTCAATAACTACAAGCCTCCAGAATTTGACTGCTTACAGTGTGAGGTAAAATTACCACAGTTATATGAAATAAAGATCTTAACAATTCCAAAAGAGCTTGATAAACGCTATGTCGTCTTAATCTACTGTCACCAACTTATAAACATTTGCCATGTCCAAACGCAGGACTTCAAGTAAAGAAAGGAAGATGGAGATAGTGAAGATAACTAACCTAGCCACCGCCAACAACAATAAGCACTAATCATTACTAACGAGAGAACTTCAATAGAGGTCACATCCGTCATCTATCTAGGAAGCATCTTTGCAATTACAGGCGGACAGCACAGAAAGGTAAAGGTGCACACCTCCATATCTCTGAAATCACTTTCGGAACCTTGTGAACTCATCACGAAGAAAAAGATCGCAATTTCCAACAACAATGTTAAGTCAATCAGTCAGTTCTTCCGTATGTCTGAGGAACTTGGCAAATCACGAACACCATTTTTGACAGGTCGATGCAAACTTTTATCGACAGCTGCCTCCTCCATCACCATACTGAAGATCAGGTGTCTGGTTTGAAAGAACTAGCAACAAGAAATTGTAGGAAGGAACCTATCAAGAATCTGTTATTCAACAAATATCCCGAAGGAAATAAAGATATATCGGACACATGCTGAGGAGACCGTCAGGTGACACTGCACGCCAACCCATCAATCGAGTGAAAGCCGAGTGAGAGACGACGAGTTAAGTGTCGTTTCGATGGTGACACAGATGAGATCGTGTGAGTAGGAGACGGGCAATGGAGATGCCAGATAAATAGGCCTGCCAAGAACAGGGTGAAATAGAGATGTTCTGTTGAAGTCGTATGTTTCACTCGGAACCCAAAGGAATGATATTAATAAGATACACACTACTTGGGGGGGTGGAGGGGTTGGGGACAGAGAAATATAACGTAGCTATTGAAGTGAATATAATCGTGTAACCTGTTACAAACAATTCAAATGTTCATGAATTGTTTTGGCATACTGCACAGCATGGAATTACATGAAGTAGTCTTGATTAATTCCATAAAAAGTTTTGCTAAATTTAAATGCATTCGTGTCAGTGGTTATTCTTTTATATTATTAAAAAATAAACTGATTCTTAACTATTCCTTGGACCAAAGAGGCACTCCATTGGTATGAGCATTCGACCAAACATGGGCTTGAATGCCGTTCAGTTGTTGCGGCAGCGATGGCTGACGATTGTTCAAATCTCCGAGAGGATACTAGTCTCCACTCAAGGTTACAGATATGCCTTGCTGACTGACGGTTGCCAAAAAACAACAGAACTTCTTACCACTTAATATTGGTCCAAAAGGTGCAGAGTCGCCTAGCCTGGTAAGCATTATGAATTGACTGGTAGAATTCAATCGGTACAGCTAAGGATTAGACACACAACTTCCTTCTGCTTACACCCCAGCGACAAAAACCTCAGGGAATGATCAGTTAGTTAATGTCAGCAAATTACTTTAGTCTATTATGTAACAGGTTGTAATGCACGTTCAGTTGTTTACGTTAAAGTAGGGAAGGGGGGTGTAAGAGGTCAGTCAGACATCCATTCTAAATAACTTGCTCAGGCCGATAAGCCGTATACGCCATCCTTTTTAAACAGGATCCTTCACCCCTCCCCCCACAAACAAAACACTCCATGACACTCGAATTTTATTTCAAACACTTATTCATTCGGCTGTTAACCGAAAGGTCGATGGCTCGTGCCCACCCGGGGGCGCCAATGCGTCGTTTGCATAGCGGCTAGGACGCTCGCCGACCATGCATATGGTCCGGGATTCGATCCCCGGCTGACGCACTCCTTTACCTCGCCAAGCCAGAAATAATGCTGGTAAAGAGGAAAGGTTGGGCATGGGGCTAGCAACCCCACCTTGTAAAAATACAAAATGCTACAGAAACTTCGAGCCACTAGCTTGAAGCCCTATGTTCCACTGGGAACGTGAAGGAATAAAAAAATTCATTTCATTTCCTGTGAATGTAAACGACGGTTTATAGGCACGACAACTTCAATAATAATAATAATAATAATAATAATAACGGCTACTTACTCATTCGCGATATACCGGGTAGTACTAACTATACGCTTTGTAGATTCGCAATAGCCATTTTCGCCGTGATACATCAGTGAAGCCCAACATGTGGCTATTAAAGCACCAGGTCGACTACCTGTGAATGAATAAAAACAACAAAAATAAATTTTGAGTTACCTTCGCATTATTATTTAGAAAGTAGAACAGAAAAAAGGGAGAAAGGCGATTCTCTTTTAAGTGGAATGATATCATTGGACAGTAATATACTTTGAATGCAAAGCAACTCTTGGTGTTGTCGTTTTTTTATTGCTTCATGAGAAATGTCCCCCCCCTCCCCTTGTAACAACAGAACGTTTATTACGGAAAATCAACACATATTTATAGATTTTGATGTACATTATTGTAGGTTGGTGTTAGTAGAAGATACAGTCTGTTGATTGGTTGTTTCTCACACAAAGTTAACCTTGCATCTCTTGTGGCTGTGTCAGTTCATCTATATGTTAACTGTATCCGCCTGCCCATCTGGACCTTGTTTTCACATGACTAACATTGACCTCAATTACTGTCAACCAATTTGGCTAGCAACCATCTCTCACCACACCCTTACCAACTGTGGTAATTAGTGTATTTTTCGACTAATGATCCCACTGTTAATCAGACTGTCGAATAATTTCAGTGGAGGTGATCTATAAGTGGAAGCAGTAATCAGTCAACAAAGTAACTAAATGACTTCATAAAGATTCACACCAAGTGCAACTGAATTGATGACTTGCATGTCACTATCAAAAAAGATGAATTAGTTCAGTTAAGATAACTACATCTATGGTGAATTTCAAAGACGGTTGCAGTGAAGAAAAGTTTCTCTTCGACGAAGTCATCAATTAGACTGTACATAAGTGTATTTATATTATATAAGTGAGAAAGTCCCCGAACTATTTCCGGCCAAGGATCAAATTATTAAAGATTACAAATAGAGATCGGATATAAAAAACATAGTGGGTGGGATCATAATTACTGAGAAAATTGACTTCTTTTTGTGCAATTTAATAATAATAATAATTTGCTTTATTCCAAAACAGTACATGTGATACAGAATGGAATTCTCAGCATCCAGTTAGTACATTATCAATAAATAGAATTCTACATAGATTAAGGAAACCAACAGTTCATTATTACAACAACACATTGGCATGTCGGTAGCAAAGGAAAAGCTGAGACAGTGTTTGAAGGTGTTAGAAAAGTAGGAGCTGTCATATTTACTGGTGTAAGCGAGAGAAAGAAACAAGGCAACACATAACAGGAAAAAAAGAGAGAGAAAAGGAAAAGAAAGAAGGAAAATGTTGTATCTATAAATGATGTGAGTTGGAAAGACGAGATCCAGTTGTACTACTGACTATTTAATGAATTATAGGTGTCACGCCTAATGCTTTCTTTATCACACAGAACACGAGCTAAGTAGGGTATGGTTGAGTTTTTGTATTTGCTGGTGCGAGCATATAGTTTTCTATATAGGCTTCTGGTTTTGACTGATGAGATGCAGGGGGAGAGTTGTGAGTGAAGAGGGTGGTGTGAGTTAGATAAAATGGACTTGCCCCATTACGGATCAGAAATGTAGTGATCATAAAATACTCAGGAAATAGGATAATCAATACTGAGAGAAATGACTTTTTATGATGACCATGTTAAAGATAACAGTTGGACTTATGTCTTTTGAATGCATAGCATGGAATTGAACTTTTGGATCACCAGTATCTAAGCTATGCTCAGATGCCTTGATCGCATTCCTTCTGAAAGGTTTGATCGGATCTTGTATATGACTTTGAAGGACTTTTCAAAAGGAGTTGGATATCCTGAGTTCAACAGATGTTCTTTTACCGAACTATGTACACACTTGTGTCCTATCTTTCCTAGTCAGGCTAGATGGTATTCATCAGCGTGTTTTATAGGCGGACACATGGTATGGCCAATATCCATAGCTCTACATGAGCAAGCGAACTTGTATATGTGTGTTGAAGTGGCCCAATGCGACAGCATGTCTTTCAGTTGCTGGTAGACTAGCTGTTTGCAAGAAAGTGTCCCTCGTAGGCTGGTGGCGAAATATGTCCTACTGAGAGATTTTGAGAGCCTTTTACGGAGAATCTCAGCTTCAGTATCACTTTAAGATTCAGCGTCAGCATCTTTTTGAGGGCGACTTGGACTTGTTCAAACGTTTTCTTTGTCCTTGATTCTGGGTGGGGGAATCGATAGAAATTGGCATTCATGGGCCATCGGATTGCGTCGCAGTGCCTGAATGATCAGAGTCGTTACTTAGAGCTCTTGAGGTTCAATCACCAGTAGGATGGTAGATGTTTCACGGCTGAAGAGCCGAAAACTAGTTCTCATCAGTATTTATTGGTTCTCCAATTGCTGCTGATCTGTGATCCAATTTGTGATCTATCAAATCCCTGCAAAACAATACTTTAGAAAGACAACATTTGTGAATTTTGACTTAAACTTCATGTTACCACACTGTGCATTATGCATAGGAATAGTGAATGAGCAGGAAGGCATATTATTATATTATTGTTTCCTTTAATTCCTACAGGAACATAGGGCTTCAGCCGTGCGTCTCTATTGCGTTCGGTTCTCTGCTAGAGTCTTCGTCTGGCTCCAAGTCTGCCCACACGTTTTCATCTCCTCTTCACATGACCTCCTCCAAGTCACCCTAACACTGACGACCAACTCACCGCTCCCCATCCGCGCTCCACTCGAGGGGTTGTCTAGTGATGTCACTTGATGGTTTCCTCAGGGTATGGCCAATCCATCTCGATTTATTCCTGCATATTTGTTGTACAATCGGTTCCTGGTTGGTTCGCTCCCAGAGATCTTTGTTGCAGATCTTTTCTGGCTGGCCATCTGATCTTGAGTATTGAGCGAAGACAACTGTTAATGAAGGTCTGTAGCTTGTTTGAGATGCTCTTTATGACGCTCTGGCCAAGTCTCTGATCCGTACAGTAGCACCGACTTCACATTGGAGTTAAAAATCCGGATCTTATTTTCGATGATGAGTGCTGTTGACCTCCACACAGACTCGAGAGTAGTGAAAGCTTGTCTTGCTTTGATATCCTTGTCAGTTCCGCCTGTAGTTGAAACGATGCTTCCCAGGTAGGTATGTGAAGGAGGTTGTTTCTTTCAGGTTCCTTCCCTTTATGCATATATAACACAGAAAATAGACGTCCCAGAGAAGAAATGAGTACAGGTTAGTAAAGGTTTCCAGTGAGTACTAGTGATTTCTAAAACCTAAGAGTCACAAATCCCTGATAAATACTCAGTGATTTCAAAGAATTTTGTTAAATGCTTATTTGAATACCGGTCCAGTGTTTCTGAACCCCGTTAGTCTTCTAGGCAAAGGCACACACACTGAGATAGCCGATGGATTGGCATACAAGACATGCGTCACATTCACGCTGATTAGTGTTTTAATAACTGAAGATATACTAATACATTAATATATGTGTAGAACTTTGGCACTGTGATAGTAAGTAATTCCATAGTAGTTTGTTTGTTAGATGTTCGAAACGTCATCCAGTAAATAATACAGTCTCTCTGTGTGATACATCTAATAAACAAACTAATTTGGTAATACATTAATGCCTTATAGTCAATAAAAGGGAATTGTTCAGTAAAGTAATGTCGGAATATGACACGTAACAGTCAGTCACAGGTTGAAACTAACACAACTAGTAGGCATTATAATCAAAGACAAAGTTGTAGGCGAAGACGTTCTATCGGCCTTGTTTACAATCATGTTAAACACATTAGTTTGTTTATTAGGTATATCACACAGTGAAACAGTATTATTTACTGGATGACGTTTCGAACAAAATTTTCGAACAAAACAATAGATACAGTTATGAATATAGTTAAGAAATCCACAGCGGATCTTATACGCCGAATGAAGCCGTTTCCAGGTGAGTCTAAGTGGTTTAATTTAATGCCCAAAACTAATAACCCCGGTGTTGTTAAAGTTCATAAGTCAGGATACCCTATTAGGCCTATAGTTGATTTTAGAAATTCACCTACTTATGAATTATCTAAATATTTAGCCATGGTATTAAATCCCCTAAAAATCCACTCGAAATCTAGACTAACTAATTCTTATGAACGACTTAAACACAGATTAGATAATTTAAAATTAGATAATGAAGAAAAAAATGGTTAGTTTTGACATTGTCAGTTTATACACACGTATACCAGTAAATATGGCTATGGAGGCAGTCAGAAACGAACTCATTTCTGACCGAGACCTCGAACTTATGACAAAAGTGCCACTTGAGGACATAATGCTGGGAGTACAGCTATGCCTGACTTCCACAGTATTTGAATTCCAAGGGAAAATATACAAACAAACTGAGGGAGTTGCCATGGGATCACCAATATCCCCAGTGGTAGCAGATATATTCATGGATAAGTGGGAAAGCATAGCGATTGAGACGTTCACCCCCACCTCAAAAGTATGGTGGAGGTACGTAGATGACACATTCACTGTACTTAAAACACAAAATATAGATAGGTTTTTCGAACACATCAACTTGAAGGTTGAAGCAATTCAATTCACTTATGAATTGGGAAATCAGGAAGGGGAGCTGCCAATGTTAGATTGCAACGTAAAGAGGAAAGAAGATGGGAAGTTAAACACTAGTGTTTACAGGAAACCCACACACTCAAACAGATATTTGAACTTCCAATCATCCCATCCTATATCAGTAAAAATAGGATTGGTGAAATGTTTAAATGACAGAGCACAAAAATTAAGTAGTACCAAAGAAAATCTAAAACAAGAACTGATACATATAAAAGAAGCCTTGAAACTTAATAATTACCCGGATAAATTAGTCAGGAAATATGTAAGGAAATATAAAAATAAAATAAATAATGATAACAGAGATAGTGATAATAACAATAATAATGATAATGATAATAGTGATAATAATAATAATAATAATAATAATAATGACGACACCAACAATATGGAATCTAAATCATCAGTAGTAATTCCATACAAGGAAGGAACCTCAGAAGCTTTACGCAGAATTCTCAACAAGGCAGGAATAAAAACGGCATTCAAACCAACCACAAACTCAATTAAAAACAAGCTTTGTCGGTTACAGGATCAATCCTGTGGAGCCTTTAAAACAAAACAATTTAGTTTATCTAATACCCTACCTGCAACGATTGTCAGGTCAAATACATAGGTCAAACTAGTAGAACAGGGGCAGTCAGACTAGCCGAACATAAAAACCTAGCAAAATCTAGATTATTTGATCCAAATAAGATAAGAAATCTAGAGAATAGTTGAGATATAGCACTCACTACATGCAGTCACACACAACCATACAATAGGATGATGACAGTTTTAAAATCTAATGTCACAGGGTATAGGGAGAGATTGATAACAGAAGCTTTGTTTATTGAATCAACTGCAAATACATGTAATAGGAATGATTCAACACCTGTCCACCCAGATATCTGGAAAATTCTACTACCCCGACGACAAATAGGAGAAAACAAAGAAAACTATAAAAGTCAACTTTCGAATTCATGTGATTACAATTGATATGATTATGAACAATAAATTTTGTTCGAAACGTCATCCAGTAAATAATACTGTTTCACTGTGTGATATACCTAATAAACAAACTAATATGAAATTACTTACTACCACAGTGCCCAAGTTTTACACATATATTAACATGTTAAACACACTCTTGCCTAGAAGGATTTTCCAAGCTGAGTGACTACAAAGGTCATCCACAAAGTCCAGATCTTCTGAATTATTCTAATCAGTCACCCAACGTGTTCATGACTTCTCGCTACCCACAGCCTGTCTACGACGACGATTAGGAATATCATCGATGATAGTAGGCTGTCTTGTCTTACTCCTGTATTCACTTCAAAAACTTTATCGAGTTTTCCTTTGCTAACCACCTGATACGTGCCATTGTCATATAGCCAGCTGTTGAATGAGATTAATAATAATTTGGGGGCATGCAACAGTGCTGAAGTAGTTTCCAAATTAATTCGCGATCAACTCTGCTGGAAGGCATTTTCAAAGTCGAAGAAGTTGAGGTGGGGGGTTAATCGCTATTCTGTGCTCTGTTTGGTGATGATGATGAAGATATGTAGAGTTGCATGATTTGCTTTCCCCGAATCCAGCTTATTCCTTACGGAGTTCTGCATTCAGTGCATCTTCTAGTCTGTCTAGGATAATGCAACATAATATTTTTTCTCGGCGTGAACAAGAGCATGATTCTGAGCCAGTTCTTCCCTACTTTGGTAGTTTGACAAGGTCGCCTTTCTTCAAATCAGTAGGTACGCCAGCTTCTTTCCAAAGCTTTTGCAATAGTGGTGTGAACAAATCCACCGCTGTCTGTGGATCCGTTTTTAGTGTTTAAAGAGGAATTCCATCCGGTCATGCTGCCTCCCCGGCCTTCAGTAGTAGCTTGATTAGAGGAATGGTGTCCACTGGCAGTTCTGTGTTTGTTGGCGGTATTTCTGGACTAAATTACAGTCTGTTTATAAAGAGTGAACTCTACATGAAGATACACAAAACACTTGTCGGGCTGTTGAGAAAAATCAAGCTCCTTTAGTAGATTACATTAATTTGGAGCCAGCAAGCGTATAGCTTAAATATGACAATCTAAGAATGTGGAAATGAAACTCTTCATAGAAAAAAAGAAGTGGAATTGTGCATAGGTGAAATGAATGAATATTTACACAAAGTAGTAATGATGATAATATAATAATCAGCAGGGGAAAATTTAAAAAAAAAACAGTACATAGGAAAAGATGGTTTTCTAGGCTAATTTTTACCTGCAAATGTTGGTGAGGCGTATATCCCACCTGACCAAGTTGTCTGTACAAAATACTGTTTTGACCGATAATATGCATTTCTGTACAGGATAAGAGAGGCGCCTTTTGGTGCAAAACCGAACTGAAAAGAAAAACAACA